TGTGAAGTCTGCATCTCATATTTTATCGAAGATTCTTTTATCGCGAGCACATGTTGTGTATATTGGAGGGATCCTCGTAAACTTGTCAACTTTAAGTTAAAGTGGTTATCTAGTACAATAACTAACAAAAAGGACAGATTCGTAATCTAAGAAGTTGTCTACTTCTATTCCAATTACCTACGGTTATGGAGCCAAATCCTTGCTGCATATTAAAGTGAACTTTGTAGGTGTGGTGAGACTCTAAAATCCAATGAAACCCAAACTTCAGCACAGGGAGGATAATACACCGAATAGTTTGGTTACTTTGATCCCTCAAATAATCATATTATATCCATTCATTTGCTGCTCTTTTTTCTTGTCATTCTTGTGAATGTTTTTTAAAGTTTTATGTGCTTTGTACCTTCCAAGATAACTAATTCCTTATTTCCTGGTGTTTTATCTTCTGCTTCCTTTATGCCAGTGTTGAGCAGGTTGAGCTGAATTATCAACCAGACCCTATTATACTTGAGGCACTGCTGGATTGAATGAATTTTCTGGTTCTGCAAATTTATACTTGAGGCACTGCTGGATTCTGATGGAAGGATAATAGCCGAGGTAAAGAATTTAATACAAGAAGAATAAACACTCTTTCTGTGATATGATACTTTGATGCAGCTGCTTGTTTATATTCCCTTTGCATATTGTGCATCAAAATTTCTTCTTTTAGTTACCATTCTGGTTACTGTTCATCAATATTTTAGTTTCACCCTCTTGGACTTGGAGGAGGAATAAATTGTCGAAGTCGAAGCATTATCAGATTTGATTGGAACAGTAATTAAGGTCAACCTTTCTTGATTTTACCATCTTACCTTTTTTGCCTTTGGGATCGATTTTACAGGTAAGCAACTTGCAATATTTCTTTGTGCGGCGTGATTTGCAGATCCTATCATTGACCATTCAACATCAGGTGAATTTAAAAGAAGTCTTTGAAGGAGACAAAAGTCTTACCAACACTTGAAAGATTGGTTTCAGCAAACCTTATAATGTTGATAGTTACTTTGCCCCTTGTTGGTTGACATGTTTACGTGTACATTATTTGTTTTCATAGTTACTGAAAGGTGAAAAGTGTCGTTAGACTCCCTGCCTCCAACGTATGGTACCGTGTCATTATTTTAGCTCCATAGTTGCAAATGCAGAGTATAATGTATAGACTGTTAATGTTAAATTTCTGTTCCGTGATCGAAATCCAAAAAAAATAAAGAGTATCGTTTAATAGGTTGTTACTAATAGTCCCACAATTGTGTATCATACAGTCCATCAAAAAACAATGAGTATCATATGTTAGGTCATTTGGAATGGACACAAAATTTGAGGTCTAGGTCTAAACATATTTTGGAAATTTATAGACTAACATTGAAAAATTGAGATAAGTTTGAAATTTTGATATGTGATGCCAACTCCAAAAGAAGCAATGTCCTCCTTTCGAAACGAAAAGAATCATTTGATAAGTTGTTACCGATGAACCATAAAATTTATGCTCATACCGAGTGTGTCACACATAATTCAAAAAATTGAGACAATTGTGAATTGCTATTTCGTGACACAAACACTTGAAAATTTTTGTAACATATAAACTCCAAAAAAGTAATGTACGCCTTTCGAAAATAATGAAAGTGTCATTTAATAGGTCGTCACTAATGGATGCATAATTCCGAAAAATTCATGAATGAATACACAAAACCTAAATTTCTAATTCTATAGATTGACCCCTAAATGTCCAAATCATTTGATAATAATACAACATTTAGTGGCGATTAACATTTCTTTAAGTGGCAACAATTTACTACAAATGCATACTTTAAGGCGACGGTATATCTTTTAGTTGCGACTAAAGTTGGTAATAATTCTTACTTTTAAAGGCAACAACATACTTTATAGCGGCAATTAGAGTTGCTACTAATAAAATCAGTAGCGACTAAAATATATTTTAATTCTTTAGACTAATGCTGGTTTTAGTCGGGACTTATATATTTTTCGTTGCGATTAAAGTTGCCACTAATACAACTTTTAGTGGCAACTGATATATGTTTTAGCGGCGATAATTGTTCTCATTAATGCAGGTTTTTAGTGGTAACAAATATACCTTTTCGCGGAGATTAAAGTTGCAACAAATATATTTTTTTGCGGCAACAAATATACCTTTTAGCGGCAACAATTATTGTTACTAATACAGGTTTTTAATGGCGACTAATATATGTTTTAGCGGCGAATATTGTTGTCACTAGTCTTTAGTGGCAATAAATATACGGCGATAATAGTTGTCACTAATACTTGTTTTTAGTGGCGACTTCTATATGTTTTAGCAGCAAGAACAGTTGTCACTAATACAGGTTTTTAGTGGCAACTTATATATGTTTTAGCGGTAACAACTGTTGTCACTAATAATAGTTTTTAGTGGCGACTTGTTTATCTTTTAGCGGCGACTTATGTTGTCACTAATAAAGGGTTTTAGTGGCGACTCATATATGTTTTAGCGGCGACAAATGTTGTCACCAATAAATATTTTAGTGGCGACTTATATATGTTTTAGCAGCGACAAATGTTGTCGCTAATAATTGTTTTTAGTGGCGACTTATATTTCATTTAGCGGCGACTTAAGTTGTCAGTAATAAAGGGTTTTAGTGGCGACAAATATACCTTTTCGCGGCGATAATGGTTGTCACTAATACTTGTTTTTAGTGGCGACTTCTATACGTTTTAGCGGCGACAACAGTTGTCACTAATACAGGTTTTTAGTGGCGACTTATATTTGTTTTAGCGGCGACTATGTTGTCACAAATAATGGTTTTTAGTGGCGACTTATATATCTTTTTGCGGCAACTTATGTTATCACTAATAGAGGTGTTTAGTGGCGACTTCTATATGTTTAGCGGCGACTTATGTTGTCACAAATAATGGTTTTTAGTGGCGACTTATATATCTTTTAGCGGCGACTTATGTTGTCACTAATAGAGGTATTTAGTGGCGACTTCTATATGTTTTAGCGGCGACAAAAGTCGTCACTAATAGAGGTATTTAGTGGCGACTTATATATGTTTAGCGGCGACAGATGTTGTCACTAATAATTATTTGTAGTGGCGACTTTTATATCTTTTAGCGGCAACAAAAGTTGTCACTAATAGAGATTTTTAGTGGTGACTTATATATATATTTTAGCGGCGACAATAATTGTCACTAATAGAGGTTTTTAGTGGTGACTTATATATGTTTTTGCGACGACAACAGTTGTCACTAATATATATTATAAGTGGTGACTTATATAGGTTTTAGCGGCGACAAATGTTGTCACTAATGCTGGTTTTTAGAGGCGACTTGTACATGGTTTTAGTGGCAACAAGTATACCTTTTAGCGGCGTTTAAAGTTGGGATCATGTATCATAAAAAATTCATAGATTATAACACACGAGAATCAGGAAATTTATTTTTTTTCACCACATTATAGCTCATTTGAACTTGAAAATGCGTCTGTTTACCCCTCGGGACAAACTCCCGCCATTTATAAAGTCGTAACTGACGTACATGAAACATTTCGGCCAAAAACAAGTCGGGACCACGTATCACAAAAAATTAATGGAATATAACATGCGAAAATTGATAAATTTTGTTTTTTTTCGCATTGGAGCTCATTAGAACTTGAAAATTTGTTTGTTTGGCTTACGGGACCAACTCACGCCAATAAAGTGTCGAAACGGACGTCCATGAAAAATTTGGGCAAAAAACATGACAGGATCACGATTCACAAATTTATGGACTAATACACAAAAAAAAAGTCGGGTAATTACTAAAACTAAGTCGTTAAATGTAAAAATATGTTTTAAAAATGATGAGAGTATACGTAATGCTCCTAACTCATTACGAAGGTTCTCATAAAATTTTTTTCAGAAAACCTTCCAATTCTCTTTTACCATTTTTAAAAATATTTGTGGTACTAATAAGTTTCACCAATATATAAATATCAGGTGCCATCAAAATTTAATCAAATCATAAGAAATTACCTTATTAATAGGATAGATGCAAGGAATTGATGCTACGAATGCCATAGCAAGTGAATCAGAATAAGCCCAAGCCCAGCTACTGATTGGAAAGTCTTATCGTCATCTGTATAAAGCATGTATCAGCGTCAAAATTCATGGGTTAAAACACACGAAAAACTAACGAAGTCATGTGATTCCTAAAAGTTGGCCCCTAATTGCAAAAATATGCCTTAAAAATTGGTGGGACTATTTGTAATGCTTTCAAACTCATTACAAAAACTCTCATAAAGTTTTTTCAGATAACCTTTCGGGCGCCAAATACACACGAAAAATTAAGAAAGTCGCTTAATTTCAAAAAGTTGGCTCCTAAATGCAAAAATATGCCTTAAAATAGTGGGATTATATGTAATGTTCCCCCAATTCATCACGGAGGTACTCATAAAGTTTTTTTTAAAAAAACCTTTCGAGCACCACAAGATGTCAAAATTCATGGACTAATACACACGGAAAACCTAAAAAGTCGTGTAATTCCTAAAATTTAGCCCTTAGATGCAAAAATATGTCTTAAAAATTGTGAAACTATATGTAATGCTCCCCCAAGTCATTATTAAGGTTCTCATAATTTTTTTAGAAAAACCTTCTGGGCGCCACAAGGCGCCAAAATCTATGGACTAATACAAACCTAAAACAAAGAAAACCGCGTAATTTTTGAGTCCTTATTGGACATTTAGATGCCAATTTACAGAAATTTCGATTTTTCTTTACATTTTAAATTACGAAATTCAAACAAGATTATCTTTGATAGTATTGTTTTTATTTATTTTTCTGGGGTTGGTTTGGTTGTAAATCGAAATTACTGCCATCTTTATACAACTAGATGGTCTTGATTTGAAGTACATTATATTTGTGCTGCTCATCCCTCTCCTTGTAGATAAATCATCAGACAATCTGAAGATCCAAATTTACAACAGAAACTGAACTACATGATTGTTTGAAAAAATGGTTGGTGCATGCATTTCATATATACATTGGTGTGTATAGGAGCATGTAACAAACCAACATTGACATTGTACAATCTCTCCTTCTCACTCTGTATAATCGAAGATAGCTAATTGTAACTGAGAATCGACTGTGTATTGTTTAACGAATGACCTTCTCCACCAAACTTCGAAAGCTCTCTGAATATTGGGACAGTCATCTCCTTTGTTAAGGAATCGATCGAACCAGTTAAGCAGAATGGTTTGTTGTTGAGCCAAGGGTAGTGTTAGAATAGTCTGACCAAGTCCCTCTTCAACCAGCTTCTTGTCAATTGATCTACCAGCCCTCTTCATCCACCCAAAATCGTCATATAGACTTTCCAGCCATGTCGATAACAAACAATATCTAACATCTTTTGGCACTAACAAATTTCCCCTACCAATTGCAATGCAAAGTTGTGCAGTGATCTTGCTGATTTCATGTCGATACATGGTGGGAATCTTGGAGTGTAGAATGGAGAGTTCTTTTTGTTCTGCCCATAGTTTCACAAACTCATCCCCCATTTTCCTGTCGATTAGGATATCAACTAGCCACTGCAGATTGTCTGCTTCACGAGCAATCTCACCCATTAGAACCCCTCGGTCCTGCTGCCTGTTATCATCCACGGATGTAGCTTCGGACAAGCTAAGTATTAGAGAAGTGAGGCATCTATGACAAAAATGATACAGAGTATCCCTTGAGATATCAAGATTACTTTCATGACTGCTACTATTGCTAGTGTTTTCTCTTAGCAAACGAGATATCACTTTTTTCATCTCTTTGCGGGCTTTATCATCCTTGGCATGTAAAACACCAGTAAGTAGCCTCTGAAGAATGTCATCGGATCTTGAAGATGTTGATGGTTCAGCAACCAGTCTCTGAAGTATATCAGCTGCTGAATCGGGAAGCTGAAGTTGACTGAGATGAGATACTACTTGTTCCTCTTCTTGTTGGGACCAAGGAACAGCCTCCAGATACTCCAAACAAGCCAACACTCCATCATCAAACATAATTGCTGAAGATATCTGTGATAAGAAATATTAATACAGAACATAAAATCATAAACGGAAACTCAAAGTCCCAAGTCATCAGTGTAGTTAAAACTTTGCCATACCGGAAAATTCAAGCTTGGTACACTACCCATTCTGCTAGTTGCCAATAAATCTATAGACTTATGGTTTCTTTTACAATATCTAGCTCTCGATTGACTTCTCATTTACTGAAGGAGCACCCAAGCAGAGGTAAGAGGATGATTTCCGTAAGATGTCCTCTCCATCAGAATTAAATTATCGTTTTTATCATCTGAAGAGATGGATCTCAGGCCTAACCTAACACTAAAGCTAGCTTATGAGGAAAAGCCGAAGGCCATATACAGAGACCACAACCCATTCTCTCAACCAATGTGGGACTCGACACTCCCTTGGCACGGCCAGGACAGGACAACTACTGAAGCATGGATAATATAACACGGGGGTCCAACATTATGATACACAACAACCGTGATCAATGAGTTTTGGCTCCTTACCAAGTAAAAGATGGATCTTGTTAAAATTAGCGCACATAGGAAGGATTTTCCTTAGGAAATCACAACTCCTTTCCTCAACCGAAGTGAGACTTGATACACCCTCACAAGCCCTATGCTGGACAACTAAAGCATGGACAATATAACTCAGGGACTCAATATTGAAAACACAACAACATGAATAGATGGGTCTGGCTCCGATACTATGTAAAGATATGTACTTTTTAGCCGAACTCAATCCTAGCAAACTAGCTAACGAGGAGAGGATTGCCTAATATAACTTTATTATACAGGAAAACGAAAATTGAGTAAAAATTGATGATGTTAACAGAAAAAATAAGTATACCTTAAGCAATCCCAGGACCTTGTTAACATTTTCACCCATCAATCTCTTCTTCAAATCATCACAATACATAAGCACCAATGTTTCCACATAAACCTCCACGTCATCACAATCAAGAATCTCAACCGAATGCGACCCATTTCTCTGAAGCTTATCAGCGAAAAACCTACTCCGTCCGACTAGCACTCTCCGGTGAACATCCATAGAAACTTTAAACCCATCACGCGCCGCTATCGTCAGCCTGACATCACCCACCGCCGGAAACGGAGCATCAGCCAAAACCCTCGAAACTCTCTCTTGCGTTCGGTATCGCGATTCGAGTGAGTGTTTGGACTCGCGGGTCTGCTCCTCTGACATCATCTCGAAAAGGGTCGGGCTAGGATTACTGGGTCGGGTCGGAATTTGGATAGGGGAAGGTGGGTTGGAGGTACGAGGTGGGGAAGGAGAAGGAGATAGATATGGGTTGGAAATGAAACCTTGTTTGATCATAGTGGAAACTAATTGATTCTTCGATTTGTTGTTGTTAGGGGAAGCCATTGATGGAGTCAAAATTTGAGCTTGAGCAAAGAGGTTGAAGAATGTGGAGAGCTCTAAGCTCTAAGCTCAAAGCTATGGAGGAAACAGAGAGGGAGAGTTGTGTTGGATCTGAAGTTTTGGTAGTGACAGAGTTTATTGGGAAGTCAGGTGTAAAAGTAGTTAATTAATTTATGGGATTCAATTAAAAAACTATAATAACTACTACTCTAAAAGTGGGTATATTGTCTTTAATCATGTTTGAACAAATATTAATTTTGGGTAAGCGTGGTTTGTTAGAGCATATAAGAATAGTGTTAAATATGATATATTATAATATTGTTAATAGTTATGGTTATATTACTCATGATAAGATTATTTCTCACGAGTGTCTATAAATATACTATCCATGAATATGATGGAAAGAATGTGAAAAAGATTTTGAGATGTAATTATGTTTTTAATTAGGGGAAAAGAACAAATATACCCTCGAACTATCGTAAATGATATGCAGATACCTCGTCATACTTTCGGGATATTGATGCCTCTGTCATCCAAAAACTATAGCATGTATGCTCTTACTCTAATGGAAGACTAAATAGGGACATGTGACGCAATTTTATATCCTTTAATTAGAAAGCTCGAGTTTGAATTTGAGTTCTAAATATGAAAAACTTATTGTTAGGAAGTGCTACCCTCCAAATTAAGTCCTATTTAAGGCAGGTTATGATATCAAATTTCAATACATGTATCAAACACATCAATCTAAAGAGAAGTATCACAAATAATAATGCCAATAATTATAAAGAAAAAATGACTTTCGTTAAAAGTGAGGGAAGTCTTCCTCTCCCATTTTGTTAAAAATATTTTGATTTGTCAAAAATGACAAGTAAAAAGAGAAATTAAATTAGAAAATATTTAACAAGTAAATAGAGTTGACGGGAGTATAATATACCAATACAAAGTTAATAAGCATATGATATATATCTTTTCAATATGTTGCTATCATTTACTATGTATTTTTATACAAATTTATCACTTAATTATATACAATAAGTTAAAATATTAATTCAAGGTGTGAACATAATTGTATACACCAATCTTAGTTTATCACTTATCTTTTACACAACTCAAAACTTTTATGTTGATTTATAGTACTTCGTAGTAAAGCACTTTTTACAACTCAAAACTTGTGATTCCTTTTCTTTGTTCAAAAAAAGTTTTTTTTTTTCTTTTAATTTTTAGAATGAATGTGTGAACAGTGATAGAAAGAAAAAGTAAGAGAATATAAACTTTATTAGAATTGAATTGACATATGTGTAAGTTGCAATAATGCTTCCTCCTCATATTTATTTCCTAGAAGAGAAAATGGTCAAGTATGTCCCTAATATATTTAATAGAGTTAATTTTATTCTTTGCATTGAAAATATTTTATTCCTGACTCTGTTATTTAACAAATGGCCCAAAATTTATATTATAATTGACTAATGGAAATTATTTTTTCTATTAAAACTATAATTTATTTTTTTAAGAAAAAAAAAATACCACCTACTAATAATTAAGGGAAAAGGCTCAAATATGTCATCGAACTTTGAAAAAAGGCTTATTCATGTCATCAGTTAAAAGATTGGTTTATAGGCTCATCCATGCCATTACTTGTTAACTGAAATGACTTAGATGAGCCTTCTATTAAAATTTGATGGCATATTTGAACTTTTTCCCTTTTAAAATAATGATTTAATAAATGATGTAGCGGAATAATAATTGACCACGTGTAAAAAAAAATCTTGAAAAATCAAAACTATTTTCAGTTAACAAATAATTGTACGAATGAGCCTTTTCTCAAACGGAAATGACATAGATGAGTCAAACTTTTAACGAATGACATGAATAAGCCTTTTCTCAAAGTTCGATGACATATTTGAGCATTTTCTTAATAATTAAACTCTCACCCCTACTCTCCTCGATCAGATGTCGTTTTGTGGGATTATATTAGATAGCTGATATGTTATTATTATATGGTCTTAAATTAAATATATATTACTATATTAATATGTTCCCCTTGTTTGGGGATTGTAGCATAGGAGTACTGTATTTGCCGTAAGATACAAGATATTGTGACATCTAATTATCAGCTACTACTATATTGGTGAACATATTTAAATCTATTTATTATAAGATAGATATATTTGAAAGTGAATAATTCAGTTGCGGTGCTTATAAAACAGAAGGTCTTGTCCAAGGAGTGACATATTTGGATGGAGTCTCACTCATAGAACAAGAGTATATGCTAGTGTACTACGATTTACGTAATTGATTAAATTAGAAGAGTTTTTCACTTGTTTCAACATCCAATATTGAACTCATGTAAAGGAATTAGGATGCAATAAATAATGAGTTAAATAAAGAAGATTAGGCTTAACAAATTAATTAACTCAACATCTACTGAGGAATTCATGAATTAAGAATTACAAAACAACCAAACTATGCATATAAAAAGAAAAACACAAACCATCAAAGGAAGAAAAAAAAAAACAAATGAAAAACCATCATTTTATTTTATACAAATCAACAAGTAATTAACTGTTGCAAGGAGGGTCTGAAGACCACTTTTCTCCACTCATGCACTTGATTTGATTGGGATATAAATATTTTCATTTCTGCAACAAATAACAATACATTAATTATATTCTCCAACTATAGATAATGTAGAATAAATTAAGTATTGAGAAAGAGAAATGCTGGTACCTTTTAGAAAACATTTGTTTGTAAATCCTCCATCTCAGGATTGATGTCTTTTCCTTCTTTCTCAGCTTCAGCTCCCAAAAAAGGAGCAGAATCTAGTTTGGGAGGGTTCTGAAGAGTTGTTTCACATGTTATTTTTCGATAGATACTCGACTCAAGTAAAACATATCAAAAATCAAGTGTGTAAAGTAAATACAGTAGTGAATAAGCCATACTGAAAGCAACGAGAAGAGAACAATGGGCAACTTTCTATCCTAATCCTTGATCTCCAAATCTTCCTATCTAGGGTCGTATACTCGGTAAATTGCTGATATGTCATGTAATGCCATGTCATGTGTGATCACCTCTCCCCGATACTATGATCACAGTTTAGAGGTGGATCTAGGGCGTGTTTTGTTGGTTCAACTGAACCAATGCTTTCAGCTTGAATATGCATACACATGCAATTAAAACATTTGAATTGTATACATATAATAAGACTACACTCATCTCGAACCTATGACTCTAGATTCTGGTTTCACCTATGTCACTGTGGATTTTGATCCTTCACAGGTTTATTTCAGTAAATTGTATGTCAATGTACCCCATATTCATCCGACTTACAAGAATCAGCCGCGGGTGAGTTCTGGTAAGGGGTGAATTGTCACTCTCATCTTAAGAATATTTGTCACACAACAAAGAACTTGAAATGATGAGAGAAAGACAGATAAACAAGCTAAAGAAAGAGCTCATAACAATACCATGCAACGAATTAATGCCCAATTCACACCCCGGAAGAACGGATGCTGCTTGATTTCGTTTGCTCCTTCACGAGATCCTAACCTGTTTTTGGGATCTCTGTGCAACAATCTGTACATTAACTGCTTCGCGTGGAGACTAGACTGGAAAAGGAGAGTACAAACAGACAGTTTTAGAAATTGGAGGGGGAAAATGCACTCTCACATTTTGAATCGAGGCACTTAAATTCGTTAGATTCAAATATCATACCTGTATGCTTCCTGGGAATTTTAAATCCTTATGTAGTATATTTGAGAATGTCTTTTGCCTTGTCTTTCCCCTGAATGGTGTATAACCATACAACATTTCAAACAAAAGAATGCCTGCCAAACGACAATTTATTCGTGAAAAATAGCATAAACAATTGAGGCAAGTATGGTGTAAAAAGGCCTTGGTGAAGATTGAAGGATCAGCCAATATCAACACTCGAAGAGCAAATGAATTCTAATTACCAAGAGCCCACCAATCCACTGCACTAGTGTGCCCTGCTCCAGTTATGATCTCCTGTTAAATAGACAAGCGAAAAGAGATTGTTTAAAGAACAGGATATACATGAATAACAACTTGACCTATTATACAACTTTTACAAATATTGATTGTAAGCATCTATAAGTAGCTCCTTTTCAAAAAGAAAAGGAAAAAAAAGGTCTAACCGGAGCTATGTATTCTTCAGTTCCAACAAAAGAATTTGATGCACGCATAGGTTCAGCCATGAAGATTGGATTCTGTTGGCCTTTTTGATGTTTCTTCTTTTCGTTGATTTCTGGAACTAAAAGCTGTCCAAATAACCAAAACAGTGTATTGGCATCCATTAGTAACTAATTATGTTTGCGAAGTCACCTCATGAGGATAAGCAATATTTTGCAAACCTGACAAAAATTATGAGTAAAGTACCTGTGGTTTGCAAGATGTCAAACAGGAAAGATCAAAATCCGTTAAAGATACATGCCCACCACTCTGAAGCAAGACATTTTCAGGCTTCAGATCCCTATAAATTATACCTGTTGGAAAAAGATAACTCAGGATACATGGAGATAGATTTTTCAACTCTTTAGATACAAGCGTCAAATAGTACATATACTAAGCATTTGCTTTGATTGATATGTCATCTGCAGCATTGCCACATTTACTCAAAGATCACTCACCATAAGGCATAAGTATTCTTATTAAGCATTAATCACTCCATACACCTAAAGTCAAAGAGAATGGTGTACATAGTTTGAAAGAAAGAATGGAAAGTAAGAAAATAGATACATCAACATTGATTCATGAACACACGTTCTCCTCAATCGCGAATAAGATATAGGAAATTGTTTGATCATGCAATTCTAAAAGTTGGTAGAATTGGACTAGTTAGAAAAGAATGAATAAAGACGTTCTGATTATTCAGATCTAATTATGTATATATTACATGTGGATATAAAGGCTACCTTGACAGTGAAGGTACTCCAACGCTACCACTACTTCAGCGGCATAGAACCTGCACAAAACAAAAAAACTGTATGTCAGCAGAAGCAAAATGGAAAATATCTCAATAAATGTTTAAGAGACTGCGAGAATATGATATCGTAGTCTCAGCTAACTATGTAGAATGCTTCTTCGATAGGTATAATTGTAGAC